TTTGTTTCCGTCAAAATATCGTTAAGGTTAAGAAATGCATTTTTGCATATAGATTCGGACAATTTATAGCTATTCAGCAGACTCTCATAACTTAAAACATTGTAAAATGCTGACATCACATTATTTTATTTTACGTATATTTTGTCTAAATGACACAGACATATATATCAACCGAAAAATAAAAACAAGAAGTCGTTTCCGGTGCTGTAGATCGGTAATCAAATTTGCGATGACTCAATGTTGATATATTTACATATACGACAGCCTGGCTAATTTGATTACACTTGCGTGTATTAAGTGACAGTGACGTTATATAATTGAAATATATGCCTGTGTATATACAAAGTAATGGTCCCCGTCGTTAAGCAAACCTCAAACACAGGTTTACACGTGGCCTGAGTTCTACCGGGACTGTTGTTGAGAGGCTACTAACAATCAAAGACCAAGAATAGATCTTGAACTGTCGTCATGAATATTTAATCGCATTTTCAGTTGTGGTCAACTACAAAAAAATAGTAATACGGGATATACATGTCCTTATTAGAAAGCATGTCAGCCTCTGTAACCTTATGTTGTACTGTAAGTACAAAATTGGACAATCGGCTGCCGATACTGCCAACATAAAAGTTGGGGAACACTTTCATGTTCGGTTTTATCTTCGGGATTTTATTTGGTAAATCCTCACTGTACGTTAAAGCCTGATCATAAAATGTAATGGAGAGGAAGGTATAATTACTAGAACAATCATATACATAGATGTGTAGCAGTAACGGATACAGTGGTGTTCTAGAAATACCAAGTCTTAAATATTAAAGGAAAATCAAATTCTGAACTGTTCTATTCATCCTACTTGAGAAGCTTCAGATGGAGAGTCAGATAGATCCATGATTGTGATACGGCATTTTAAAGTTGAATATCCATTGCAAATAGAAAACCCTATCATAGTAGCAAATGTTGTTTTCGAAATTATTTCCAAATGATTGAAGGATAAACGTAACAAACAAACATGTGATTGTACCTTTAGAGTTTGATGATAGATATAGTGTGTCAAACATGTGATTTTACTTTTAGACTTTGATGATAGATATAGTGTGTCAAACATGTGATTGTACCTTTAGAGTTTGCTGATAGATTAAGTGTGTCAAACATGTGATTGTACCTTTAAAGTTTGATGATAGATATAACGTGTCAAACATGTGATTGTACCTTTAGAGTTTGATGATAGATATAGTGTGTCAAACATGTGATTGTACCTTTAAAGTTTGATGATAGATATAGTGAGTCAAACATGTGATTGTACCTTTAGAGTTTGATTATAGATATAGTGTGTCAAACATGTGATTGTACCATTAGAGTTAAATGATAGATATAGTGTGTCAAACATGTGATTGTACCTTTAGAGTTTGCTGATAGATTAAGTGTGTCAAACATGTGATTGTACCTTTAAAGTTTGATGATAGATATAGTGAGTCAAACATGTGCTTGTACCTTTAGAGTTTGATGATAGATATAGTGTGTCAAACATGTGATTGTACCTTTAGAGTTTGATGATAGATATAGTGTGTCAAACATGCGATTATACCATTAGAGTTTGATGATAGATATAGTGTGTCAAACATGTGATTTTACCTTTAGAGTTTGATGATAGATACAGTACATGTGATTGTACCTTTAGAGTTTGTTGATAGATATAGTGTGTCAAACATGCGATTATACCATTAAAGTTTGATGATAGATATAGTGAGTCAAACATGTGCTTGTACCTTTAGAGATTGATAATAGATATAGAGTGTCAAACATGTGATTGTACCTTTATAGTTTGATGAAAGATACAGTACATGTGATTGTACCCTTAGAGTTTGATGATAGATATAGTACATGTGATTGTACCCTTAGAGTTTGATGATGGATATAGTGTGGCAAACATGTGATTGTACCTTAAGAGTTTGATGATAGATATAGTGTGCCAAACATGTGATTGTACCTTTAGAGATTGATGATAGATATAGTGTGTCAAACTTGTGATTGTACCTTTAGAGTTTGATGGTAGATATAGTGTGTCAAACATGTGAGTGTACCTTTAGAGTTTGATGATAGACATAGAGTGTCAAACATGCGATTATACCATTAAAGTTTGATGATAGATATAGTGAGTCAAACATGTGCTTGTACCTTTAGAGATTGATAATAGATATAGAGTGTCAAACATGTGATTGTACCTTTATAGTTTGATGATAGATACAGTACATGTGATTGTACCTTTAGAGTTTGTTGATAGATATAGTGTGTCAAACATGCGATTAGGCCATTAGAGTTTGATGATAGATATAGTTTGTCAAACATGTGATTGTACCTTTATAGTTTGATGATAGATACAGTACATGTGATTGTACCTTTAGAGCTTGATGATAGATATAGTGTGTCAAACTTGTGATTGTACCTTTAGAGTTTGTTGATAGATATAGTGTGTCAAACATGCGATTAGGCCATTAGAGTTTGATGATAGATATAGTTTGTCAAACATGTGATTGTACCTTTATAGTTTGATGATAGATACAGTACATGTGATTGTACCTTTAGAGCTTGATGATAGATATAGTGTGTCACACATGTGATTGTACCTTTAGAGTTTGTTGATAGATATAGTGTGTCAAACATGCGATTGTACCTTTAGAGTTTGATGATATATATAGTGAGTCAAACATGTGATTGTACCTTTAGGGTTTGATGATAGATATAGTGTGTCATACATGTGATTGTACCTTTAGAGTTTGCTGATAGATTAAGTGTGTCACACGTGTGGTTGTACCTTTAAAGTTTGATGATAGATATAACGTGTCAAACATGTGATTGTACCTTTATAGTTTGATGAAAGATACAGTACATGTGATTGTACCCTTAGGGTTTGATGTTAGATATAGTGTGTCAAACATGTGAGTGTACCTTTAGAGTTTGATCGTAGATATAGTGTGTCAAACATGTGAGTGTACCTTTAGAGTTTGATCGTAGATATAGTGTGTCAAACATGTGATAGTACCTTTAGAGTTTGATGATAGATCTAGTGTGTCAAACATGTGATTGTACATTTAGAGTTTGATGATAGATATAGTATGTCAAACATGTGATTGTACCTTTATAGTTTGATGATAGATACAGTACATGTGATTGTACCTTTAGAGCTTGATGATAGATATAGTGTGTCAAACATGCGATTATACCATTAAAGTTTGATGATAGATATAGTGAGTCAAACATGTGCTTGTACCTTAGAGTTTGATGATAGATATAGTATGTCAAACATGTGATTGTACCTTTAGGGTTTGATGATAGATATAGTGTGTCATACATGTGATTGTACCTTTAGAGTTTGCTGATAGATTAAGTGTGTCACACGTGTGGTTGTACCTTTAAAGTTTGATGATAGATATAACGTGTCAAACATGTGATTGTACCTTTCGAGTTTGATCATAGATATAGTGTGTCAAACATGTGAGTGTACCTTTAGAGTTTGATCGTAGATATAGTGTGTCAAACATGTGATTGTACCTTTATAGTTTGATGATAGATACAGTACATGTGATTGTACCCTTAGAGTTTGATGATGGATATAGTGTGTCAAACATGTGATTGTACCTTAAGAGTTTGATGATAGATATAGTGTGTCAAACATGTGATTGTACCTTTAGAGTTTGATCATAGATATAGAATGTCAAACATGTGATTGTACCTTTAGAGTTTGATGATAGATATAGTGTGTCAAACATGTGATTGTACCTTTAGAGTTTGATGATAGATATAGTGTGTCAAACATGTGATTGTGCCTTTATAGTTTGATGATAGATATAGTGTGTCAAACATGTGATTGTACCTTTAGAGCTGTGTGTCCGTCTAGGACTCATCAATGATTCTAAGGGCCAAACAAGTTGGAAATCCGAATTCGTCTACACTATTGTTGAAACAGAAGGGGAGGTTTGTAAAACCTCTTAGTTTTACTGATTAATTTTACTGTTTAATTTTTAAATTGTTAAATTAATGTACTAAAGTGTGTTTATTATTAACCGTTCTAATACTGTAAAGAGAAAATTGTAGCCATCAAAGGCTACGGCAGACCAAATATCACATGTTTAGTAAGCTATATGCAAGTATGTGTACATGTATGTGAAAGCGCATTGCTTAACTATGGATTTTGATATAAATATTTGCTGATCAATGAATCTGATCCGACAATGCACAGAATAAAAACACAAACGTACAGAAGGCGTCAGGCTGCTGACATGTTATGTGAATCTTGGTTAATTAGACGTTTGAAATTTACCCTGTCATGAGTACCTCCGTATTGATCCAGAATATGGCGCCAGTTGAAGTGTCCCTAGAAAGAGAATAATGAGTAGCATAATCAGTCTGTGGCCATTACAGGTACCCTTGGGATCGTTCACACCGAACAGGAAATCCCATCCATATAAGCACAAAAACACATTACTTTGGATCTCCCAATTGTTTCAATTATGAAGCATCAAAGTGATCGTGATTGACGTGATTTTATCGCGGTCTTTTATGTGTTTGTTGATCCTGGGACGCCGTTGGTTCGGTTAACAAGGTCATATCATCGTAGATGTAGCAGAAATACTTCGATACACTATCTGATACCCTTCTAAGTTAATTATACTTAATGGCTGTGTTTTTTGTTCAGTGTGCTCTTTGAGTATCAGTCGAACAGTCAGTAATCATGATGTGATTTACAGTAAAAACACTGAAATACCCCTCTCCTCGTTTTATTACTAACTTCACTTACCAACGACCTATTTCAATAACGTTTTTCTTTTTCGATGAGGTGTTGGTACCTATCCTCACCTCGGTCATACACAGTCGGACTGAGCACTGAAAATATGCATTCCCAAAGCCCGTTGCAATCATTTTCAGAACCAAGCTAATCGTCCACAGCTCCGAAGCATTATATAGGCGATATAATGAAGAAACAAAACACAACAATTTATTTCAAGATAATCTATTATGTCTAAAAAAAATGATATCCGTACTATTATAGTACATTTTAACAAAACAACATATAGTTAAACATATAGCTAAATATGTAGGTGTGTACGATTTAAAAACACAAACTTAAGACACCAATCTGAGGTGATTAGATACGACAAATTATCACAAATTTATAATAAAAAGTTATCTACTACATAATATTTCTGTTGAGTACACTTTGGTCTCAAGTGTTTTTCACGGTTACGATAGCTGTCTGTACTAAAGCGAGACCGCTTTCGTATCCCAGGACAATGTTCTGAAACAATAGTGCACTTAAAACAAGTGTTTAATAATTGGGTTTATGTAATGGCATAAAACCGCGGAAGATAATTGAACACCACTAACAAATACTTTGATGTTGCCGACTGACGTGAGTGCCTCTACAGGCAAAACATCTCAATAGTGAAACTGCCCGGCTTTATTGATAGAAACACAGACTGCCAATTCAGAGAATGGTAGTCATGTAATTATGAAGCTTTCATTGTATTCTGTGGTGTACTTATACCTCTTATTAACGCAACCTGTCATTAACACTTGCACTTCACAAAGAAATAGTATTAGCTACAAACATAGGTTCGTAGTTTGCCAAATGTCAAGGGTGGGAAGGGAAAACATAAACGTGCTATCTAGCTGTTCCAATATTATAAGTTTACCATAGAATTGCACCTTTCTCGCTAAACGGCATTATGATGATTTCTCATTCTCGACGGAAAAAAACAGTTGAAAAATACTTTTGAAAATAAGGAACATTAGACGAAAAAAACATCTTACGCGAGTTTCGTTATGAAGTTATTTAAGTGAATTATCATTCAATCTAAGTTGGAGTATATTAAGCCTCCCTTCGACGACCCAGCGAGATGTAGTAGCACTTCTATTGAGTACCGGGAAGCGTGGAATGGACAGCCAGCATGCTAGGTATTCTATTTGTGAGGGTTCTGCGGCCGAGTTGAGTAGCACCATTACTTTTAGCGACTAGAAAAACCAAACAAACATGCACTGTATGTGAGTTGAGTTTAGTAGTAGCTTTAGAATATTCGACTTCGTAAAAACGTCAGTTCGGACACATTTGTGTACTCTGCAACGGCTGGAACAACGAATTGTCAAAGAAGCGAGGCAAGAAATTGAAGGTTGAAGGTTTTTGTTACCAACATAAGGAAAGAAAATACGAAATTAAATATGTTTCTCCATATCATTTTCGGAATAAAATATTATTTATTAAGTTTAACCTACAAGCATTAGCATTGCATGTTCATATTATTTCAGAACTACAGTAGAACATGTTTTGTTAAGTTGTCTGCATTACGATGCGTATGTTACCATAAATATATAAAGAATTTAATGGCCATAGTGGTACAATGTGTAAGATCAGTACTTACTTACTCGTATGTCTGTTAATAACTTTACAATGCGTGTCATATACATGTTACTACTGTGTCTGTACATGTTATATATTCTTGTATGTATAGATACGCCCACCTTTTTAACGCAAACAGCGTATGTAGCTTATAAACATGTATACCATGTTGATACTTACCTTACGTACATGTTGTAAATTATTAATAAAACATACCTGGGGAGGAGTTAAAACAACAAGCTAGTAGTTCGTACATTTGCGAACTTCTTGATCTAACGTCATAGCTATATTGTAGCATGGATATATTGTTCGGACTAATACGTCTTTAGATGTCCGCGCACTAATCACGCATTTTTTGTGACGTCAGATGTACATGTTCAGTTAATGGAACTGTCCACATTACACGGCAATGACTGGCATCATTGCAATATTATGGAAAGGAATTTCAGACAAATATAGATACATATCTGTAGACATTTTCAAATGTATTATCGGTCTATACCTGTCAAAACAGTTTTTGTGTATACAATATGGCGTCAACATAAACAAAAACCCTTCTGAAATGTTGTGTTGTAGTACAAGGAACTCGATTAGAGCAGTATCAAGATAGATAATACAAAATACATCTACCACATTATAATTTTCGTAAATTTATCTCTGTGTGCATAGTACGTCACGTGATGTAAATGTAATGCATATGATGTATTCGTGGATAAGAGCCTGTAAGTTGTTAAACTTGTCTCTCATCCATTTGTCTGTTTCGACAATAAAATATGTTTAAATCAAGATAGAGAATGCTTAAAACTCATTGGCATTGTTTCCTTGTGCCATCGAATTTCTTTCCATGGCTAAAAGGACTAATATTTAATAAATGAACAATTTCTTCCTTAAACGATAAATGCGTATACAAAGTAAGTAACACATAATTTGGTGTGAATGTAATGATTTGTATCACATTTGTATCTCATGTAATTAATGCGCAAGTGCGAAATATGCAATTGTTTATAGTTCATATATAATATAAACTGTTATCTATATACAGTCCTATTTTAAGACCAATCAAAACGCTGTCCTATCTGCCTGAAGAACAGCTCATTTAATGGCCGGAAATACCGTTTTAGTCTGTCTTTTAATTCCGGGTCAATAAGAATGTGTTGTCTCCCTTTATTGTCCCTGAGACACTCCACCATCGAGCTGGTTCGGAAACAAAAGAAACCCTTAGTGGCGTTAAAAACGAACTGTTCCCGTTTCACTTGATGAGACAATCCGAGGAATTCCTCCACTTTGTATACTTCCTCATATGGATTACTCTTGAGGTTTTCACCGTCTACAATATGTATCTGACTCATTGGGAAGTACTTAAGCCACCGTTGTAAATTTGTATGATACAGAGAAGGTCTGATACATATATATTCTCGATTTATCTCCCCTGTCCGGAAGTTAAACACAGAATCCTCGAACTTTCTACGACTCCGGTTATTTATAACACGTTGAGTATAATCTGAAATCGCTCTCTCCACAGGCTCTCGAACAACAACGATCAATTTAATTGTACTGTTGAATTCAAACGTTCGTCCAGGAGCTTGCTCATGGTGAAAATTATTACTCGATTTTTCGACAGTAATCTGTCCTTCTCTGGAAAGGGGCATCAATTTGTTATACCAATCGAATCCATTTTCATACCGGAAGCTGAAGAAGTTTGGTTCTTTGCTTGCTGTTATAACATCCGGGTGTAGATCTAAGAAATGCCGCAATGCACCCGTTCCCGCCTTTTTCACTCCAATAATAATGCTTTGAGGTAGTCTTCGTTTCCGGTTATCATTAACTAGGTAATTAGTTGACGGAAACTTACATGTTCTGTCAGGCCACCGTCGAGTGATACAGGCTTTTGTTATGAAGAGAATTGTTAATGTGCATATGAAACAAATTCCAATCAGTTTTAACCTCGTGACTTTTCTGTGGCAACACGTGGCCTGCTGTAACTTCATATCGTCTGCTATCAAAGGCACATGCGCTGTGTCATCCATTGATCATCGGCGGGAAATCTGAAAAGTACAAAAGAAAAGTTCATGATAATCTGAAAACAAATCTCACGCGATCTGTGATTGTAAGTGATCATAACTTCACGGATTAACGATGAGTTTGATAGGATTTTTCGAACTTTCCTTTCATATCAACCTTAAGTTGATTGGAAAATAAAAGGTAAAGACGTAAGTGAAACAGCTAGTTCGAAGATCAGTCCTATTTCTCCCTTGTCGAGAACGTCAAAATATTTCTCATATTCAATCTTAGGAGAAAAGTTGTAAAGATAATTCTTCCGGAATGGTTGTGCACTGTTGGTCCTTGGTGTAAAGAAAATTAAAGGAAGTGAGGTTGAAGAATATATATATAGACTGTACAACGTACATGTATTAATAATTGGGTGGTTTTTTTTAATTTGTTAACCCCAAAAATCCTATAAGTGTTATAACAATAACCTGACAAGCATGGCATCACCAAACATCCTTACAGTACTAGAACCATTTCCCGCTTCTAAAGGACCCTTATACACGGACACTATTTCGTGTCTGTGAACCATCGTGCAATGCTTGTTTGTAAGGGTTTATATTATCACGAAAATGTCCACAGATTATGGACTACTCAAAGGTAAGCAGAGCAATGTATGACTGCCCAAAGCAGAACCTATTCCAGACCAACCTTTTCTACCCGGTTATCATATCAAAACAAGAATACCAGATATACACGACCCTTTCCCTGTATCACGTTTAATGTAGGAGATACATATTTTTCTCCAATCCCTTTCAGTCACAACTCTAGCGACAGTAGTCATATTTGTAAACAAAAGCATATTTGGCATATTAATTTTCGCCATTTTCCTTTTATGACGTCACTGTTTAGCCCGTGCTGTTCTTCACGAGGCTGTTTAACGGGTGGCAAGCTGATCGTCGCTCTCAGTTAAAACGGGAGCCATAGCTGTAAATGATGGGGGATAATCTGAGAACCACTTGACAAGATACCTTATTCTGCCTCAATTTCATTGAAACATTAATAGCACGTGAACACGCCATTTGTTGGACAATAGAGCTGTAGATTATCCCGAAAATGCGTGCTTAACATTCATGCTGTAGTAAAGTTTTTACTGGCTGATATTTTGACGACATGATATCCCTTATCCCCAGCCCCTCCACCGCACGAACATTTGCGCCTGTACATGTAAATATGTGTTTTTAGCTCGCATAACTAGCACGTGCTTCATGAAGGATTTATTTGTCTGGACTGACTGGTCTTGACCTCGAACATTGACGTGGACTAGGGAAAAAGTCAATAACGTTGCCCTTCTACTTGAAACATAAGCTGGTTTTCTCGATAATTACTGAACTGGGCAGCAGAGAGCGTAAAAAGTGTAAGTATTCATGCTGTTTTTCACTTGGTATATTTTTCCTGTCAATTTCCTGAGCTGATATTTCGCTAAAATTTCAGAATAAAACGACCGAGGAGTCCAAATATAATACCGAGGTTGTACACAAAACAAAACTTTATGTATTAAACGTTTCGCAACGTTTTGAGACCGACTGGTCCTCTTTTTTAGACTATGACTGTCTGTCTTGAAACGTTTCGACACGTTTGATACGTGTATTGTTTATGTATGAAGTAAAACTTCGATATTACATATTTCCATATATGCATATGCATACATAGACTTCATAATAGAATGTTCATCTTATTGGCTCCATATCAGGATGTTCAGTTGTGTAGTCTTATAACTTGTTTATATCAACAACTATTCATCCCTAGCCACCTTAGTATTGTGTTTATAACAGGGATTTTTGTAGATTTTACAACAAATAATAATCATCTCTGGGTGCATCTCTTGAACCATCCGGAACCCCTTGCATCCTGATGATTAATTCCAGTTTCAACAGGATACTTGGCCGGGTGTGTATTAATACACTTAAATATTTATAAGTTTTCAGATTATTGCTATGACCAGACGCTGATGGCATCAGATTGACAACAACAAAAATGCGAAACCCTACAATTTGACGACATCATACATGTACTGACGGCTGCCGAGATTAGACTCTGGCAGACTCGCCTTGCGGTGTAGGTTCATATTAGTTATCTATGTAAGAGTATTAAATTGCACGCTATCACGCATTTAATCATCTTTCTATTGTATATCTGTATGAATTGTTAGCTTGACCACAATGGTATGAATTGTCAGCTTGACAACATTTGTATGACTTGTTAGCTTGATCACAATGGTATGAATTATCAGCTTAACAACATTTGTATGACTTGTTAGCTTGACAACATTTGTATGACTTTTTAGCTTGACAACATATTGTAGGACTTGTTAGCATGGCAACATTTGTATGAATTGTTAGCTTTCCTATGTTAATGAAAATTGTCAGCTTTTGACTTCTAAATCTTTGGAAAAATTGTTGGCGTTACCAATATATTGTAGGCATGACCAATTTTAGATAATTGTTTTCTATCACATTGGTATGAATTTAATAGCTTTAATATTTTTAATGAACTGTTGGTTTTGCCATATCTGTAAGAAATAAACAGCTCACAAAACTAAAATGAATTGTTGGGTCTACCGTATGATACCATTGATATATCTACTTTTCTTCCATATAAATGTTCATAACTCTTTGTTTTTACTGTTCTGGCAAAGATGCATGGACATTTCCCTAACATACTGATAAAACATTATGCCAACACTAAATATTCGTATGTAAGTGTTCGTGCGGCCAGACTGCAGCAGAGACAGAAACTTCTGTGCCCAGACGCATCAATTTCATAATTCCGAATTAGTATCTAGCAGGAGATATTACATGTACATATCTTGTGAGGATCACACAGAAACCTAACCTCCCACGTATAGAAGGCACTCTCTCCGCCGCGTGATTCGCCATCAATTATTGACCGGGTTCATAAGGTTGTTGCTTTGGTAATTTCAGCGTCTAAACATCACTCACTTCGTTTAATCTTATATATGTTCGTTTACTTGCTTGGTATAGCCGAATGTGAACACAAAATTAAGTATATGTCATTATTACATACGATAAATCAATCAAGTTGACTATTTTTGAGTGCTGATTTCATTGCTGAACCAGTCGACTGTGATTTCCTATATCTCGACCGGTAATATGAAACTGCGAGCTTGGTTACTCAGGTCATATAAAAGGTAGTTAGTCCGATAATATGAACGCACGTGCTAAGGGGGTTAACTCTCATTGGCTGATGTTGTCATCCCAAAATCTCTTGCAATTCTAGATTATTAACGATTATTGGTTACGTCTGCCAACAACAAAAATGGAACTATCGATATTACTGTCGTTCCCAACAAAGGTGGACAACAATGCTGCTGAAAATCTATTACAACGCAAAAGACTGAGGAGAATGCAAATTCACATTCTTCAGACAACATGTATTGAAGGACAAAAGCCACCAAAGAATGCTTCAGACAGCATGTATTGAAGGACCAAAGCCATCAAAGAATGCGATTTTCTCATTAATTCCCAAATCTTTCCTATTCGTCCCTATATTTAGACAAACACGGCATTTCTATTTTTGTTGCGCTATGTACTTTTTCGTTCCAGACAAAAATACATTCTGATGATCTACGGACGTGTTTTCCAATTTCCCGGAGATTTTGTTACGAATCTTTATATAATGACTATACTTATATCTCTCAGTCTCAGAGTTAAATGCATGTCACTTTTATGATCCATGGGGTTCGAGTATATTAAAAGTGGTTCGGGACACTACGTGGATTCGGGAAACACAACGACATCTGTTATGTTTCAACATTATTTTCAAAGTCATAATTTTTAAACTAACCGTTGTTTCTCTATTCTATACCGGGACAGCACAACGTCAGTACGCATTGTCAGGCAACAGGATACTGGAAAACTCATGTGAACGAACTGGGTTGGTACGTAACTGAGAATTTCGATCAGTTCTGACCTATGATTGGGAGTCAGGTTTTCAGTTTGACAATAATATAATTGACTATTTATTAATATAAATATATATAACTATAAGAAATTGTTAGAGAAAACAATTATTGAAGTCACAAACTTCCTCATTTGTTATTAATGGGAATTCTTTAGAAAGGCAGAGGAGAGGATTGTCCTTTCTTAAAGCCAAAATATATTGTTGTCAAATATCAAACCCAAATATATTTTTGGTAAAGGTACAAATACAAATATATCTTTATTTAGGTATACAGTACATATCATGTACATATCTGCATTCCCATAAATCATCGAGTATTAGCGTATATAAAATGCATTGCGATCGCACTTTCCCATGCTAAACGTTTCTCCGAGGTCTCGCCCCTCCGTTACTATATTAGGGCACATACGGCATGTACATATAGTGCACGCTGGGCATACTTCATTTATAGTATCTGACCGTATGTACTTGTCGCTCCCAAAGTTCTGTTCCAGACAAAAATAAATCCGGATGACTTACGGACGTGTTTTTCCAATTTCCTGTAGATTTTGTTGTGAATCCCTATACAATGACTATCCTTATTCTTTCACAATCTCAAAGATAACTGCCTGTATAATCACAGGAACGATCTGATAACTGCCTGTATAATAACAGGAACGATCTGATAACTGCCTGTATAACCGCAGGAACGATCTGATAACTGCCTGTATAATAACAGGAACGATCTGATAACTGCCTGTATAATCCCAGGAACGATCTGATAACTGCCTGTATAATAACAGGAACGATCTGATAACTGCCTGTATAACCGCAGGAACGATCTGATAACTGCCTGTATAATCCCAGGAACGATCTGATAACTGCCTGTATAACCGCAGGAACGATCTGATAACTGCCTGTATAACCGCAGGAACGATCTGATAACTGCCTGTATAATCCCAGGAACGATCTGATAACTGCCTGTATAACCGCAGGAACGATCTGATAACTGCCTGTATAATAACAGGAACGATCTGATAACTGCCTGTATAACCGCAGGAACGATCTGATAACTGCCTGTATAACCGCAGGAACG